TTTAATTGAATTAATAATTTTACTGCCTTTTTTATATAAATGGTATTTCTAGGCAAGGCCCTATTACGGTGCGACGATATCTTATGCCCCATTAACAAAAAAGGCTTTTGATTTGAATGTGGTTCTTTTTTTTTTTTAATTGACATTTGATTCGTTTTTTTTTTTTTTTTTTTGTAGATATTCCTCCAAGTTTTTCTCACACCAACAAACATCACGAAAGATTTTGATCTGGTTTGTCCGGGGGGATCTCCCTGGTCTCTTCTCACCCGTTAGGGCAAAACCCATGTACTCATGATTTCTCGATCCATTATCAACATACGGTCTCCTTTTAGATGTATTTGTTCGAATTTGTACCTGAATTTCTTTTTGGTTAAGGTGGTTGCTACTGATCCTTTTTCTTTCTTTATATATTAATGCCTGCTCCAAACCTTTGAAGAGGGAAAGAAATTGTGTGTGTGTGTACCTTTCTTACTCTCTTCGATGGTTAACTGCAATTGCAAGTTTTTGGTACTTAATTTTGTACTAAAGCAAGGAATTTTTTTTACATCTTGTTAGTTAATATCTTTGTGTATTGTTTTTGCGGTTTTACGCTCGCTCTTGAATTCTTCCTTTTTATTGTCTTTCGGGCAGGCTAGGTATTTGCTGGGTTTGTGGTTTTTTTTCTACAGAATTTGTTTTGTTTCTTTTACGGGATTAAAAAATTACGCATGCATTAAACACTTGCTTACAACAACTATTATTTGCAACCACAGGAAAGGTGGAGATTGTTGCAACCCATGACCCCAAGCTTAAGATTTGATGATGATAAATAATATTGTCTTAGATTCATTGAATATTATTTGCTATTTGTCTTCGTGAGTACTAACAATTTCAGGAAGATCAGATAAGTACTCATGACGAGAGGAAGACTCAAGGATGTAGGATTTAGAGTAAGAGTCTGCAATGTATTCCTTTTTTATTTTGGTCATTTTTATTTTCTTGAGTCTGGCCATAAAATGCATAACACTTGAGCAACCATGCCCTACACACAGGGGAGAGGTTTTTAAAGGTAGAATGTAAACAAAATTTCCCTCTTGAAGATCATTACTTTACAATTTATACCGTACGATCAGAGGTTTTGTAGGTACGATTCGTAAATAGATGCGTTATCATAATGAAATATATATACACAACTGTACGATATGTTCATAATCCAAACCCTCGCCATATTGTTTAACTACTTAGGTAAGTAATTTTTCACCGTTTCATACGATACGAACTTGTCGTACTGTATGATTATTTTAAATAATACTTAACTTAATCCCGTGATTAGTAGAAAGAAATCCCGGGCTTCAATTATAATTTTGAACTCGTACAGTACAACCATTCATACAATATGATGAACAGAGACGAAATTATAATTGTCCGGATATCGTTCCCGAGACGATCAGTTGTTTTTGCTCATCGTACTGTACGATGTACCATCTCATATGCTATACATGAACAGAAGATGATGTTTTGATTCATTCTCCGACTATCATCTTGTAACGAACCTTGTTGTCATGTATCACCCATACGATTTAGTATCGTAATTGGGTCAAACATTTTTGAACTATTTGTACCACTTCATAACCAAGAATGAAGTCATTTTATGAAGATCGTACTGTAAACGATTGTAGAACGTACTGTACGCATACGTAATGGCTACTTTGAAGATTTCAGGGATTTTTGGAGCCCATTTTTATGTATCAAAAAAGTAATTTTTTCAGAGAGAGATAAGAGAGGAGAACGTGGTACTTAAGAGGAGGGATTCCAATGGAGAGAGCTCCTAGAGAAGTTCTTTTAGGGTTGAGAGAGGAAGGAGAAGGTGAGGCGGTTGTGAGGGAGAAAGAGGTTGTGAGGGAAGATCACACGGTTGCTCCAAACTTGCTACATCTTGCTCCTCCGGTGGCCCTAGAATAATTTGAGGGAGGATCTCCAAGGGAAAGGCTCATCTACATCCATGACCTCGAGGTACCCTGCCTTCTCCAGGAGGGAGAAAAACGAGAAGGTTCTCTGCCGTCGCCAGGAGGGTCAAAATAGAGTTTGGCACTCTGCCACGCCGGGTTGGTGAAAGGGAGGTTTGTAAAGGCTTATCCGCCTTGTCGAGGGGGAAAAAGGAGAATTATAGTTGGTAGTGAAAATCCCAGAGCGGAGGACTCCAGGGAGTGGACATAGGTCATATTTTGACCGAACCACTATAAAAATCTTGGTGTGTTTTTTCTTTAATGTTTTTTCATTACTGCATACTTTTTTAATTTCAAAATATTTGCCTTGGAAAATTTGAAAAAAAAGGTTGTTTAATTTTTCGTATTAAAATTCTTAAAACAACGAAAAGATTTAGAACTCTTGCTTAGGTTTTAATTATTGTCAAAAAGTTTTCACAATTCACCCCCCCTCTTATCCATCTAGTAATTTCAATTCCTTCCAGCTGACATAATGTAAACCCAATCTTCAATTCGACTTGTTCCATATGAAGCTCCTACACAATTTATCAAGCTCCTCCATCACTTCTTTTGGAATAAGAGTGAGTGCTATGAAAAGTGGGATAAGAAAGCATTATAGATTTAACCAAAGTAAACTTTTTGGCAAAAGAAATAAAATTGCAACCCCAAATATTTAGCATTCTCAATGATTTGTTAATGATGAATTGAAAATCAGCTCCCACTAATCACCTCGAAGCAATTTTTACACCAAGGTAATTAAATTCTTTCAGTAATTTAAAGCCCATAATGCGAGTAATAACTCTCTTTTCCCTTCTACTAACAAACTTACCAAAAGTTATTTTTTTGTTAAGGAGGATCAAGATTTGTTTGAGGTCATTTCTTGGCCTATTTATGATGGAGTTGTTGTTATTGCTTCATCTACGTCATTTGGACCGTTTAAAGGGTCTACCCGTGGAACAACTATTTTGAGGAGGTTGTTGGTTGAGGTTTGTAATGATGATGTAGTTGTTTGGTCTTTTATTTTTTAGTTCTTCTTTGATGATCAAGTCTTATTGGTTAAAGATTTGAAGGATTTGAAGTTTTTTGTGTTTTCTCTTGTCAATATGATGAGAGTGATGATGAATATCAGTTTGGTTGGTGCTGGCATTGCTGAGGCAGGTTATTGGCTTCTTGAGATGGTTGATGGTATTATGATTCAACATTGAAATATAGTGGTTGTTATCGGTTGTATGGATGCAACAACAGCATTTTCTTCTCTTGATTGGAGCTTGTTGGACCCTAAGATCGAGGGGGGTCTGGTTGGTGTTTGGATAGCTGGTTTAGTTGATGTTTTAATTTTTCTTGTAACTAGCTTTCATTTACTTATTTTGCTTATAAGCTTCATGTACCTTTTTAAAACCATTATGATGAAATATAGGATTTTTACTGGGTTTCATTTTCCATCTTTTGGGAAAGCTGGGATACTAACCAACCTTTTAGGTTGTTTAATTATTTGGTATCCCCATCACCCCAATGGATCTAAAATGGAATTTAGTAGATCGCATATCCATTATGGTAGTTTTAAAGGGTTTGCTTTTGCTTTCAAGTTTGTATTAGGTTTTTCTTCTTTTAATGTAATTTGCCTTTCTTCAAAAAAAAAAAACTTACCAAAAAGAATGGCTGATTTGTTAACATTGATATGTTGATCAGTCCAATCACAAAAGTCATTAAGAATCCCCTTAATCTCCTTCACAGCCTTCTTATTGGCCTCTCAAAAAAATAATAACATCACTTGCATACAATAAATCTGAAATCCTTGGACACCTAAACAAATACTAATCCCAATTGAGCTTTGAATAAACACATTAGATAACTGTTAAGAACAAAGAATAAAAAGAAGAGGAGATAAAGGACAACCTTGATGGAATCCACTCCTGGCTTTAATCCATTCTGAAAAAGTTTCCATTAATTATCAAAGAGAACATTGGTTCTTTAACACACTCCAATATTATATTGGAGAACTTGAAAGGAAAGCCAAATACTCCAAAACATTCCTAAGAGTAGACCAACACAAAGAATCATATCATTGTTCCATGTCAATTATGAATGAAACTAGACCATTTGAAGATCTAGAATACCTAAATTTGTGGAAAATTTCTTGAGCAACCAACACATGATCCTACAGTGATCTCCCTTTTAGAAACGCCACTTGCTCCTCAGAGATCAGTTTAGGAATAATAGAAATCAATCTATTTAAAATCACCTTAGCCGACACTTTATAAATAGAATTCTATAGACTAATTAGTCTATAATTAAAAGGACGCGTCAGATTGCTTACTTTAGGAATTTGTACAATTAAGGCATCCTTCCAAACTTCATTCAACTTTCCAAAATAAAGAAAGTGATTAATAGCATTCCAAAAATCTACTTTTATAATGTCCCAATATGTTTTAATAAAAGAATAGGAGATACCATCATTTTTTGGAGTAATGTTTCCACCAGTTTTCTTCAAAACCAACTCCACCTCTTCCACTGTAAAATTTCTATTTAACACCCATTTGTCATCATCACTTAAACAATTCAAAGTCAAAGGCCACCCATCCAAATTGTAGCTCCTTTGTTTCCACTTATGATTGAAGAACCAAAAAAATACATCTTCAATTTGCTTTTGCTCTTCCATTAGCACACCATTCTCATCTTTGATTTTAACAATGCAATTTGAATTTCTCCTTGAACTAGCATAAGAATGAAAAACTTAGAGTTTCAATCACCCTCCACCATCCAATTAACCGCTCTTTATTTCCACCATGAAGTCAACTAAGCCATAGTTGAATTTAATTCATTCACTTTAGCATTGAGAATTCCGAAATCCTATTCCAAGAGAAATCCAATGTCCAATTCCTTGGTTTAAAGTTACAATATGTCATTCAAAAGAGAATCATTTAATTAAATCAAGTTCTTGAGTTTGGATCTACTCTAGTAAAACAAAGATTTCAAAGCTCTTTTAAATTTGCTATTAAGAATTTGTGAAGAGCTCCCAAGGTAAACCTTGTTCCACTATTTCTTCACCATAGCAAAAGAAGCCAGAACGGAGGCCCAAACAACTTCAAATTTGATGTTATTTTTAATCACTGAATTAAAAATCAAGGAGATTCAGTAGAATTGGACAATGGTTTGAAGCCACTCTAGCTAAATATCTAACCACCATACGATGGGAGGAATTAAAGCAGTTGAGTTAAGAAAACATATGTCCAGTATTTCAAGAATCTGAGCCCAACTTTATTAATGCACCAAGTGAACTTGGGGCCAATGAACCCAACCTCATGAAAATCATTAATAGACAAAAAATACTTCATCTCCTTTGGCCCTTGGGAAAATGAAAATCTTTTCCCACCTCTCTTGTCCTCCTAGGAAATTAGACAATCGAAGTCACCTCCCACCACCATAGGTACGTCTATGGTAGAATGCTTTTCCAACCTCTCCCACAAATCTCTCTTTTTATACACATCCTTGTTAGAATATATAGAAGCTATCCTCCATGTACCTTTGTTAATAATATCTAAATCACCAATTACCAATTGGGAAGAAGAATCAACAACAATAAAATCAGCCATATTGGAATTCTATAAGACTAGAATGGCTCCAGACAAACCATATGAGGCCACTGAAAATATTCCAAACCATCCCCAATCAATAATTTGATTTCATTTCTATTAATAGAAGATAATTTGGTTTCCACCAAACCCAGAAAGAAAACTCCATGCACTTTTACAAACTCTTTGAGATATAGAGAAGCACTATTCTTCCTCGCTACTCTATAGTTCCAAAAGGCTATAGATGACATTAATGAAAAATAGGGGATGAAATCCCCGTCATACCTTTCATCTCCATATCAAGTTTTCTGCTCCTAAAATTTGAACTAATCATACCAAGGCCTTTTAGTTGTTTTGATTTTTTTTTAGCTTGACAGGAGCCACCATCCTTACCTCCAACTTCAGCAGATCCTCCATTCTCAGAAACAATAATAGGACCACCATTACCTTCAAAAGCCTCAAAAGATACCACCTCCTCCACATTTGATATTTCACCATCTTCAGCAATGTCAATTTGAACTTTAAACTTATTATCATCTTAGGAATGTTTTAAGGAATAAAAACCTTGTCCACCATTAGTTTAGCCATATTTATAAAATTATGTCCAAGATCACCCTGAGAAGGAGTGGCATCCAAATCACCCATAACTAGTTCAAAAATAGATTCAGCATTAGTAGCAATAACCGGTTCTGCCTCTTTTTCCTTTACCAATTCAGATTCTTTGCTCACAGCAGCCTCAACTAAACGGGGATAAAATCTCTTACTGGCATGATTTTTTATCTTCTTTGTCCCATAATTTACAAGAATCCATAGACCATAACCTTCTTTGTCATTCCGAGCATCTTCACTCATTTCCTCATGAGTAACATAAGCACTACCTACCACAATTGGATTATTTAGAACCAAGCTTGGGATCTTGGATTGCAAAAAAAAACCCAAAACATTTTGGCTTATAAACATCTTTCCAAGTAAAAACATGCATCTTCTTAGAATTAAAATTGCCATAAAAAAGAAAGTTAGAACAAGCTTTTCTAATGAATTTAAGAATAATCCTACCTCTTATCTAATAAGCAATATAATTATATATATATAATTTAAGATATTGTACTCTTCTAGCAAAGCCTTCTAACCCAAAATAAAATCAGTGACCTTATCAAGAAAAGGTTGAAAGTCTTAATCGGTAAGCCTTTTAATAGAAATATGAAGACCCGCATAATTCATACCAATATGAGAATTAGAAATACTTAAGACATGACAAATATTTTCCTTCTCAATAGGATCCTTTGAGGAAAAAACCTTACTTTTATTATGATTAACAAAGAACCCATAACATTTAGAGAAATAATAAAAAATATGCTTTAACTTCATAACATTATTAACCAACGCTTTATAAAAAAAAATAAGAACATTATCCACATAAAGTAAATGCAAAATATACATATCACCCATTTTTAGGCCATCAAAATGTAATACAGGGGAATTATTATCAATCAAGTTTGATAAAAGCATCCATCATAATGAAAAATAAAGTATGGAGATAAAAGATAACATTGACAAAGACTAGAGAAAGATTTAAAGAAACCATCCAAAGAACCATTTAGATCAATATAGAAAACGTTTTCCTCAATACAACCTTTAATCCAACCTATAAAGTTTTTTAGAAAACCTTTTTAAGCCATTCTAGTTAGAAGAAAACATCTTGATACAATATCAAAAGCCTTCTGAATATTTAGCTTAGCACAAAAATATTAAACTTTTCCAAAGTTAAAGTCCCTTAATAATTTAGAAGCTAATAACATATTATCTATTTAAATTATCTTTTTGATAAACCCATACTGACTATGATGAACAATATAAGGCATAATAAATTGTATTATAGTAGCCATAACTTTTGCCAATGTTTTATAAAAAATATTGCATAAAGAAATAGGCCTAAAATCTGAAATCTATGAAGCAAGACAATATTTTGGAATAAGAACAATAGTAGTAGCTTTGGTAGCTCTAGGAATTTTACAATAAGAAAAGTAATGTAAAATAGCCTTACTAGATGAAGGACCAACAATATCCTAGGATTTTTTTAAAAATCAAAAGTATAGCCATCTGGCCTAGGAGCAGAAGAAGAGGAAGCCGAGAAAACAACCTTTCTAATTTCATCAAAAGTGATAGGAACTAAAAAGCATGAAATAGTTGAATTAGGAATAGAAATACCCACTAGAATAAAAAAGTTAGAAGCAAAAGGAGGTGTAGGAGAGTTAAAACTTCTTTTAAAATGCTAATCAAAGGCATCAGAAATACCCATAAAACTAGAAATTAAACCATATGAAGAAGAAATAACTTTAATAAAATTACTATTCTATCTACTACAAATCTTAGAATATAAAAAACCTAAGTCATCTTCACCATTAGAAAGCCATCTAGATTTTGATCTTTGAATAAGCCAAGAATATCAAAGAGATTGGTAATGAACCAAAAGAGCATTAATCGCTTTTAAATCCAAGTTCAGCTTAGCATCCATAACATTATTTTGAATATCCTATAATAGATTTTATTAAACTAATTGTAATCTAACCAATTTACTAGAAATAAAGTTAGAAGAAACCCATGACTAATTTTTAATATATCCTTTAAGCTTATTCAATTTGTTATAAAGATCACAAATCTGACTACCAAAAGAAGGAAAACAAAAACACCAATAAGTAAATCCCAAAAAATTGGATTAAAACAATGATAATTTTTTAAAATGAAATAATAATTCATATTAAAATGTTTAATATTTAAAAAATTAGCGAGTTATGATCAGAGTACCTAGGATCTACCACCTTATAATAAGAAGCAGTAAATTCATTCAATCAAAACTTAATCACCAAAATCCTGTCAAGATTAGTGTGAATTGGATAATTAGTTATTTGATTGAACCAAATGTAAAAATACATCACAAAAGAAAGATCTTGAACCTTAATTTTAAAAATGAGATTATTAAAATCCCACAACTTATTATTGGGAAAAAAATTACCTCTATATTTTTCATTAGAAAATCTACAACAATTGAAATCACTAATAAGGACCCAAGGGGAAGAGATATTTGTGGAAAAATTAAGAATATCTTTCCAAAACGTTAGTCTATCAACTGGATTATTTGATGCATAAATCGCAGTGATATAAAAGGAGTAAGTAGAACCCACTTTTAAACAAGCATGGATCAACTGGTCAGTTGAAAAAATAAGAGAAAAAGAAAAGAAAGAAGCAATTCATTTAATCAAAATTCTCCCAAGATTAGAAAAAATTATAGTTTTTACAACTTCCTTCATTATGCAAAAAAATCCTATGCCTAGAAAAGAACTAGGGATTCTTTGCAAAAGCCAAATTAATTTTAGCTTCAAGGATACAAATAAATCAACGTTAAGAGAACTCATAAGATCCTTACAAGAATTAACTTTATCAAGACTATTAAAGCTTCTAACATTCCAGGATGCAATATTAAAAAAAAAATAGGATTATTTAGAAGAAGAGTTTGTAGCCTTCCTGGAAATTTTTGCTCTTATCCCTTTACCTGAAGCCATGGGCGGTCATATAATCGCCTGATTATTAGAATCAAAATCACTTAAAACCTTATTTTAATTATCATTTAATAAAGAATGATGATAACCATCTCCTTGATTCAAAAGATCATTTGACACTTTGGATTTCAAAATAAGAAATTTATTATTTTTATGCAAATCAAAATTACCATTATTGCTAGTAACAATACCAAAAACTGTTGCAACCCATGACCCCGAGTTTGAGATTTTGATGATGACAAATAATGTCATTTGAATTATCTTGAGATTCATTGAATATTATTAGCTATTGTCCGTGAGTACTAACATTTCAGGAAAGATCAAAAGCTACTCAGGACAATAGGAAGACTCAAGAATGGGTAGATTAGGAGTATGAGTCTACAATGTATTTTGTTATTTATTTTATTTTTATTTTCTTAAGTCTGGCCATAACATGCATAAAAGTCTGAGCAACCATGCACACACATAGGGGGAGAGTGTTTTTAAATGAAAAATTTAAAGTTTTTCTTTCTCTGTTGATCGTACTGTACGATGTTATTTCATGCCATACGATCAGAGCTTTGTAGGATGATTCTGTGAATAGATCGTACCGTACGAATGTAATCATACTGTATGATATGTTCAAATCCAAAACCCTAGCCATCGTTTTAACTTAAGTTATTTTTGCATCGTTCGTACGGTACGATTTATTTTAAATACTTACTTAGTTTAACCCGTGATTAGTGCAAGAAATCCATGATTAGTGCAAGAAATCCTGGTTTAATTATAATTTTAACATCGTACTGTATGAACCCGTTCGTACAATACAATAAACAGAGATGAACTATAATCATCCCGAAGATCATCTTGGACGATCTCTTGGGTTTTGTCTCATCGTATTGTACGATGTACATCGTACCATACGATGAATAGAGACAATGTTTGATCGTCCCAACTATCGTCCTGTACTAACAGAATTGTTATGGATCGTACCGTACGATTCAATATCGTACTGTACGAATGTTTTGAACTGTTCATACCACTTCATCTAGGACAAAGTATGTTTATACATATCGTACTACATGATTAGAAACTGTACTGTACGATAGAAACGGCTACTTTTGAAATCTCAAGGATTTTGGATCCCATTTTTATGTGTAAAACTTGTCATATTTTGAGGGTGTGAATCAGAGAGGAGAACGTGATTAGAGAGGGATTCCGAGGGAGAGAGATCTTGAGAAGTTTTTTAGGGTTTGAGAGAGGAAGGAGAAGGTGAGCGTTCTGAGGGAGAAGAGGTGTGAGGGAGATCACACGGTTGCTCCGAACTTGCTGCATCTTGCTCCTCCTGTGGCCCTAGAAGAATTTGTGGGAGGATCTTAAAGGGGAAAGGCTCTTCTACATCCGTGACCTCGAGGTACTCTGCCTTCTCCAGGAAGGATAAAAATGAGAAGGTTCTCTGCTGTCGCCAGGAGGGTGGAAACAGAGTTTGGCACTCCGCCACATCGGGTTGGTGAAAGGGAGTATTGTAAGGGCTTCTCCGCCTTGCCAAGGGGGGCAAAAGGAGAGCTATTGCTTGTAGTGAAATACCCGGAGCGGAGGACTCCGGGGAGTGGATGTAGGTCATGGTTTGACCGAACCACTATAAAAATCTCGGTGTGCTTTTTCCTTATTGTGTTTTTATTATTGCGTGCATTTTATTTCATAATAATTGCTTGGGAAAATTTGTGAAAGAAAAGTTGTTTAAATTATTTTTATGTTCAAATTTTAAAAGCATCAAAAAAATTAGAACTCCTACTTAGGTTTTAATTATTATCAAAAAGTTTTCACAATTCATCCTCTTGTCCATCTAGTAACTTCAAAAACATGAAAATAAGAAGGCAGAACATCAGTAGGAGAAGAATCAGTAGGAGAATTAAAATTTGGAATAACAGTATTCACAGCTTCCACAGTTAAAATTGAAACAACCAAAGAATCTGTTCCATTTGTCTTGTTACTTACTAGTTTATTTTTAAAAGAAGAATCAGATATTTCAGGAAGACTGGATGAGTCACGCTTAGCCACCCAACTTCTACTTCTATTCCTAGTCAATTTATTCTCAACCAGATTTTAGCAGAAGACTTCATAGAAACCCTACTTCTACATGAGTTTGATCAAGCTCTTTTTCCTTGACTTCCTTTTTTTTCTCTTGAGCCAAAGGGGAAACCTTAGGTTGAGAAGGACAAAGAGAATAAGGATGAACAATTAAGCCACATCCTGAATAAGGAGACAGTTTCCAGTCATAAATCACTTTTAAACTAATTATAAAATAATCAATAAAACATTATTCTCATGAGAAAAAGGGG